CTCTTTTTAAATTGTATCTTAGAATGCAAATACAAATTGTGTGTACAAAATATGTTTTGCTTAGCTTATAATTATTTTCATTGTTACACATAACCACAGTGCTACTCAAAAATGCTTTATGGAAATAAATAAGAGATAAATAAATAGGCATTATTTTCAAGTAAGGCAAAGGCTAGGATTTTTTTTTCTATATGTCTTCCACGCCTATGAGTTGTTTGATTCATGCTGAAATAAAAGTTTATTCATAAAGGAATAAAGAAAAATGCAAATGCTAATGGAGAACTCGGGGGCCAAAGGAGGGTTCTTCTGAGAACAAGAGATTTCTGAACAGGTCTACAGAAGATGGGGTAGAAGGAAGGAGAATGAGGCAAGCTAAAAATGAGGTGAGTTACCTATAAATCTTGGTCTCAGGAAAAGGGAGAGGGTGATCCAATGTAAGAAGGGTGTGGTATGAGTCAGCTTTCCAATACTATAACAAACACTTGAGATCAGCTTATAGAGAGAAAAGGTCCACTTGGCTCACAGTTATATCGGTCCCTTTGCTTTGGATTGTGATAAGACAGGACATCATGGGAGGGGCATGTGGTGGAGCAAAACCACCTACTTCAAGCCAGAAATCAGAAAAGAGGGAAGCAGTGGCCAGGGTCCCACAGTCTTCTCAAAGGGTACACAGCTCGTTCCAGAGGCCTTCCATGAGGCTCTGCCTTTTAAAGCTGCCACCATCACCCTACACAGTGCCAAGCTCAGGACTTGGCTTCAAACATGTGGGCCTTGGAGGACCCTTAGGATCCACATGGCAGCAGCCACAAACCATCCTGAACATGGGCAATGTCGCTGCTCAGTCTCCTCGAAGCCTATAAATATCTCGATGCCTTCATTTCCATCCCGAGTCCTCTCCTTCTCTCATCCACCTCCTGATGATCTCATCGGACAGAGCCTGCAACGCCATCTGGACTCTGACGACTCCGGGGCTGTCTCCCGCCCAGATCTCCCCGCGCTCCGGGACTGCCCACTCCACACCTCCCGGGAGGCTTGACAGACGCCTCAAAGTGAACATGAGAAACACCCAGCTCCCGCTCCACCCACACTGTCCCCGTCTCAGGCCAAAGCAGCTTGAGTCATCCTCGAGTCATCCCTTTCTCCGACACAACTGTCCAATCCATCAGCAAATCCTGTCACCTCCATCCTAGAGAGAGAAAATTCAGGATTCAACCCCCTCCTGGGCCTCCACCAAGCCCCGCTGGCTGGCCGCTGTCACCTCTCTCCTGGGATTTATAGTCACCTCCCACCTGGTCTTGCTGCTTCAACCTCGGCCCACATATAGTCTTTCTCAACCCAGCAATTAAGAGGATCATTTAAAAATATTTCTCCTGCACTCGGAGCTCGCACTAGGATCCATCTCACTCAACGCCAAAGCCAAAGTTCCCAAGAGTCTAGCTCCCAAGGCCACGTCTCAGCGCTTTCTCCCTGCTTGCTGTCTAGGATCTCGCACCTCCTCACCCTCTCAGACCTTCTTGCTGTTTCCCCTCTCCACAGCCTGTCTCACGGTCTGATGTGATGTGCACACTTTACCCTTCCTGTGCTTATTTCGCTCTCCCCCACTGGATGAAACTTCCAGAAGATCAGGGTTTCTGCTTGTTTAGTTCCCTGCTGCATCCAGTGTCTGGAACCCAGAGTGGCAGGGGATCAATGCCCAAGATAGAACTGCTAGATTCGATTTTCCCAAATACTTCTGTTGCTGAAAGTTCCTTAGTGACTTTATCTCCCTCAGAATGAAGGAGGGAATCTGACCTCCGGCCTCCTCTCTCACCACATGCCCAGTGATACACAGCCAGATGGAATGGCCACCACCCCTGCGTGTGTCCCTTCCACCTCAGCTCTCTTCATGTGCCATTTTTCAGCCTAGAATGTTCTCCCTAACCCTAACCTCTTAAGGGATTTAGTTTAGCAGTCATCTAACTGAAGGCACCACAGCTGAGTGGGCTCCATGGCTGTGCTCCCACACTCCACCAGGCTCAGGCCTGTCCTGGCCTCTCCTGGGCTGCAGTAGCATCTTTTGGCGGCTTATCTGTCCCCCCACTTGGATACAGAGGTGATGTCACTCTCATGTTGATATCACAGCCCCCAGCCAGGTAGAAACCCTCCACGAGAGGCAGGGGACCGTGGTGGTATTAGTTGTTATGATGTTTATTACAGTCGATACATACTTATTGTATCAATGATTCTCCCCCAAAAGGCGCTAAGTGTCTGCACACAGATGAATTGATTAGTTAATTGATATATTGATTGGCTTGTTCTCTACATGGGAGTCACCATTAAGCGCCTGTGGCTGCCCAGAGCTGATTTCGCTTCTCAGAGCCTCTATACCCCCTGAATCATGGAAGGGAGGAAGCAGCTCAGGCTGGGGAGCAGCTGTTACGCTGTGTCCTCGGCCATCAGAACAGCTCCAAGGACACTCGCTGAGTCTACAGGCACCTCATCCAGGCCCAGTGCACCAGACCTCTTTATTGCAATTCAAATTTCTCCACAAATGGATACATCTTAGTCCAAATTTATTAGAGTTATGGGGCTTTATCTACCTGACTCAATTCTATTTCATAAGTAAACTGACTGTGAATCGGTCTTGCTCAGTCATTAAAAATCACCTACATTGAAGGTTAGAAGTTCACAGATCATCATGTAGTCATTCGATTAACTGAGGGAGCAGAAATGCCGGTCCAGGCCCTGTGTGAGCCTTGAGAGAGGGTTAGTGACACTGGCGAGGTCATCCCTGCCCTATATACAGTCCAGTGTGAGTGGAGGAGCCAATGTAGCTATTTAAATGGCTCGTTAATTAAAGACAGCTACAATGGAAAGAAGAATGATTTCTCTGTACCTGTGACGCACACAGACTTCCAGACAACTTTACAGACAGAGAAACTGAGGTTCGGTGACACTGGATCATAGGCCCAGGCCACATGCTATTAGGTGACAAAGCTAAGTTTCCAACCAAGGTCAGCCAGTCCCTGAAGGCCATGCCCTTCCCACTCTGCCACCCCAGTAATGTGTGAAGCCACCAAGGTCAGTGGGGTAAAATCCATGGGCTACGGAGCCTGTAAAGTTATCAGGTCCAAACAAACTCCACAAGATCTGTATATAGCCCCTTGAAAGCTGGCAGACACCAGTAAATTAAAAACAAACGACATGCCATTAAGTTGCAAAAAAAAAAAAACTGACGTAAAGGAATAGCCTACTTATTTACTTATTGTTAATGGCCCTCGCCAGTCCAAGGACGCAGTGACATTTGTCCCAGGCCTATTCTGTGATGCTTGGGCTCTTTGGCTTCCCTGGAGAGTGGAGCAGCCCCACCTGGAGAAGCAGAGGGCCTGTAGCTCTGGGAAGGAAAGCAGGAAGGTGCTCCAGCTGTGGGGTCACCCCACTGTGGGGCCTATCGCCAACCCCTCTGTCTGGGAGCCCGGGGAACTCACCCTATCAGCACGGGCACAGCTTCTTCCATCCTTCAGTAAAGCCATTCACAGACCAGCTGAGAGGCCCAGCCATGCAAAAGGCTGCCACACTCCAGTGCCCACCTCCCCACCTTCATGACATCGCTCCCTGGGTTCTTGTTTTGGAATCTTCAAATTCCCACACAAAGCCACTGATGGATGTGCTTCATTCGTAGGATCTGAACAGTGTCTTCTCACCTGAGAGTTTCTGCCAGGGCAGATGGTTTTATTATCCTGATATATGAATTGCACTGTGCCCAGCGTAGCTGGGAAGCAGAGAGGCCAACTTCCGGGACACTCACACAGGGACAGTGCCAGCTTTTGTGGGGCACCAGGAGGATTAGCTGCACACAGTAGCTGCTATTCGTGTAAACACTTCAGCATTCTGCAGGCCACAACTTTGGGGGAAAATCCCATTCTCACAAGTTGTGTTCTGGTGTGCAGCCCTCTCAAGATTTGAAAGGACATGTTCATCACCTGGCATGTTTCAAAGTCCCTGGAAAAAATCAGGAAAAGTGCTTCCTCCTGAGCACCTCTCACAAGAGCAAAGGGGAATCACAGAGACCCTTCCCAAGCCAACTGGGCCCTCGTCCCTCCCAGGACCTGGCGACTATTACTCAGAATGACCAAAGCGTCTCCCTCTACCAGGGTCTAGATTCCAGAGCCGTCTGTGGAGCTGCGTCAAGCTGATGGAAAGGAAACCCTTCCTCTAGGTCTGACTCCAGGCAAGTGTTTCACCCAGAAGGAAGCTGTGGGGGCGAAGAGAAATCAATGAAGGATTTGCACATAGATGTTCTCTGGGCCCGAGTACAATTTACAAAATGCAATGTACGGAGATGATGAATCTACTCCCTCTCTGCCAGGCTTGAGCAGATTCCTGAATCAAAACAACTCTTCTTCTCAACAGGACCGAGACGCAGCTAAAAGTGAGTTCCTCAAAAGACACCAGAGACGAGGTGCAGAATTCCTGAAATCCTACAGCAAGCATTTGAACCTAGCAGCATTCACAGTAGAGGGGAGGGAAGCCGGGGGACAGGTGTCACTGGGTGCAATGTCCCTCCAGGACTGACGGAGGGAAAGTTGCATGGAAGAGTTTTCCCATAACATAGGGCACAGCGCACAGCCCCTTCAGACCGAGTGGCAGGTCATGGAATCGAGAAGCGAGTCAAGTCAGGGTGATAACCAGGAGGAAGGGACCTGGCCAGGAGGACATGATTTTGCACAAGCCACAGCTTTAAGGACTATGTTTCCCCGCTCCTCCACACCACTTTAGCAGTGAGGTGAAGCCAGGGCCAAAACAAACGCATGACTCCTGCACCTCCGGACCTCCCTACCCCTTCCCTTCCTCCGAAACCCATGAAAACTTGATTTGTCTCAACTACACACAAGCTGGGAATTGGAGAGGAGGAAGAGGGGAAGCGGGAAGGAGAGGGGGCCAGGCAGCGTCCATGCAGTTGGCTGTCGGATTGATTTAGAGCCACACAAGCCTCTGAGTGCCATCGGCAAGAATCCTACCTCCTGCTGATCTCGGGAGAAATGCTCCAAGATCCATGGCTGGGAGTTCAGGAGAATCTCTAAGTCTCTAGGAAGGAGCCGGGCACTGCAGCTCCACAGAGTGATGGACCAGGGCGAGCTTTAATTAACAGGGTCTGATGCCTCTTCTTTTTTGGTAACTGAGCAGATTTAAAGGGCTAGAGTCCCAATTTGAAAGGTGCCCGTGCTTTCTGGCTGCTGCTGTGGCTGCTCGGGCTGCCTCCTGCTCCCAGCTGCTGGGGGAGTCTCCTGCAGACCTGGCACAACAGCCGGCCGGGAAGCAGGAGCAGCCAGGGAGGCGGGAAGGTGTGGCCCAGAACGTGGGGGCTTCAAGGTCTGAGTCAGGACCACCGAGCACCCTGATGACCACAGATGTCCAGCCGGCTGTCTCCTGGCCAGGGCAGAGTTCTGGGCCCCGTGGGCGTGGTGACACCAGGGACAGTCTTTCCAACAGGGCCCACACTTCTCCAGCAAGGTGGCAGCCTGGTCTCCACTCTGTGCTCCTCTCCTGAGAGCACTGCGTGATGACAGTCAGCAGGGATCTTCACATAGTGTGCCTGCCCACAAACACACACGCCTGACAGGCACACGCACATACCTGTGTGTGTACTCAAGGGCCTACCTGTGTACACACACATACCTGCCTGTAGGCACTCAAGTGTCTGTCCTTGTATACACATGTCTGTCTATGTGCACACATTGGCCCATGTACAAACAAATAACTGCTCAATAACACACACATGCCTTCCATGTGCACACACATCTGCCCACACACAGGTCTGCATGTGAACACACATGTTTGTGCATGTATGGGTGTGCCTACCATGGTACACATACACATCTCAGGAGCCATACACACTGCCCATCTTTCTATACCCCGGCACAAAGCACGCAGCCTCCAGGTGGACAGACACCTGCTACCACTGGCCCTAACAGGGCATTGCTGAGAGAAGCAGCCGTAACACAGCGTGGCCAGGAGGGAGGCTGGGGACAGGGAAAGAGCAGGCTCGTGGGGGGTTCCCTGGCTCTCCGGCTGCTGCAGTGGAGCTGGGATTTCGATAGGGAAAACTCTAATCCCAGAACATCACTGTCAGGGGCCCCTTGCCATGCAGCCTCTTTCCATTTCTCCTTCCTGGACGGTGGCTGCGGCCTCATCTAGTGTACAACGGAAATGACTTTCCTGTGAGCCTTCTCTCATCAACCCAGCAGCAACTTGCATGGCATTTTAAATTCAAAATAAACCAGCCTATCACCATCACCCAGCACAGCGGTGGAGTGAGTGGAGGGGTTCGGGAGGGAGCTGGGCCACAGAATGGGGGCTGCACCTCGGTGCTCCCAGGATGAGGACAGTTCAGGGACCGCACCCCCAACCTGGGCTACTCATTTCTAAAATGACAGGGTTGATCTAAGCCAGCAGCGCTCTTAACAGAAAAAGAAGGCACGGAAGAAGAGCCTGGACTCAGAGAAAGCTGTGCAATTACCTGCACGCCGAGCCTGACCAAATCCTCTCAGCTTAGGGGACAGAAAACTGTAGAGGGCTTGAGCTAAAATAAAATCTTGAGAAGCATTATTCAAGATAGGCACAGAGGTCCTCAGAGTCAGGAGGAATACAGTGAGGTGGTCACCACCACCCTACTCCAGCCCCTCACTTGAGAGAAGGACCCTGTACACTGCCAGCTCCAGCTGTCCAAGTCAGACAGAGGTGGCATTAGTTAATTTTTATTTTTCTGGTACTAGGGATTGAATCCAGGGCCTTTGCACTGAACTACATCCTCAATCCTTTTTAAAATTTTGATTCAAGGTCCCACTAAGTCACTAAGCTGCCCAGGCTGGGCTTGAACTTGATCCTTCCGCCTCAGCCTCTGGCTAGGTTGACAGGCATGTGCCACCACACCGGTCTGAGTTGGCACTTTAGACTCCAGATGGCCCTGAGGCAAAATCCCTGCCCCTTCCTGGCAAGCCACTCTCTGTGCCCACTGGGCTCTGCCTGGCTCCTACTTTCAGATGCCCAGCAACCCCACACCCGCTGTCAGGAAGATCTCTGTCTGCAGAGACTCTGCACATGCACACACACATAGCCCCTTGTCCTCTGGCTTCTAGGGAGGGCTGCACATTGTCCCTTCTCTCACTTCTAAAGCAGGGGATACATGGCTGGCATGAAGAGGGGTCCTGTGGGCTCAGTCCCAGACCCCTGTGTGCCTAATGGTGCATCTCCCATTAACGATTTGGAGTACAGCAGAGAGCCCCAACAAGAACCCCGAAGACCAGAAGGTGTCTAGAGCAACATAGACCTCCATCCCTACTACACTCCCCCAAGTCCCCAGCCCTCTCCCTGGGTTTTCATTAATAAAACCAAGCCCTGATTTCTTGGGAACAAGGAATAGTGCTTCCCATGCTGCACTTTCTAGGGGCCCTTGGCGTGCTCCCCACCTTCCTACGGCTGACCTCTCGGTCACATTCAGTGCCACAGAATATGGCAGTGCATGTCTTTCCTCAGCCACCTCCACACCTCCTCAGAACAGAACTGAGAGTGGGCTGGAGTTGGATAAAAGTGCTGTGAACTCAGACAGGAACCGGAAGCCGGTCAGCTGGGTGGAGGCCATCGCTACACTCTGTTTGGGTCCCCAGCTGTCCTGTAGGCTGGCCATGTGGCCCAGAACACTGTATCTGTCTCCAGAAAATGCCCTCATGGCTCCCCTGGGCTCTTGGTGTCCAAACAGAAGCGACAAGGCCCAGAGGGGGAAGGGATTCCCTCCCTCCTCCTGCTTAAGGGCTATTGCTGCAATCCTTTGTCCAAATGACCTGCCCCTTCCCTTCCGTGAAGCCTGGCAAATGGGAAGATCTGCCCTCCTGATTCCCACTTGCAGCAGTGTCACCTATGAGGCCTCTGTGATAAGCTCATCAGACGACAACCCAGGAGGCCCAATCTCTGTTCAAGGTGGGAATGACTTTGTGGCATCTAGGACAGACCTTCCATACATCCACTACTCATTCACCACTTCCCCCAACTCCAGGCCACTCAGGGTGCTCGGGCCACTTTTGTGGCCAGCTGACTTCATGCTGGGTTCAGCAAGGAGGGCTCAGGAGGCAGGTGGGAAGGTGAGCAGGAAAGAAGGCAGTGGACAGTTGGCTCAGGCTCCCAGAATCCTCTGGTGCTGCTAGTGCCATCTACTGCATCCCCTCCGGCACCAGCCTTGCCCCTTGCAGAGGGACAACAGCAACCAGGCTCTGACCCTTAGTAGTGGAGCAACAGCCACTTTCAGAGGCTGAACACCAGCCCCGCTGGCCCTGCTCAGTGCTCATGGACCACTTCTTTCCTCATCTTCCCCCACTTCCAGGGCCAGTGGAGATTCTTGCAGTTGCTAATCTCTAGGTTATTTCAGCTCCTCACACCCGTACAACTGATCCTCCATATCAAAAGCCATCTGTTTAAAACATCTAGTGTGGTTCTTGTTTTCCTGACTGGACAGAAATCTTCCTTGGAGATCCCAAATTGGAGTGTTCTAATAGTCACGATGAAGCCTTCATGGGAACATTCTGACACACAGTAAGCATTTTGCCATGCGAAGTTAACACTTACAGATTAAAGGAAATGATTGGGAAAAGTTCAAGTTTTAAGATCACTCCTCAAATTGAGGATGACTGGCATGGTCTTGTATTATATATTGTCATTTATTACACTAATTTATAGACATCAAAAAGAAAAACATTGCCACTGCAGCTTTAAATCTAATGAATTCAAAACAAAACAAAAAGTGAGCAACTGGGAAACTTTACTTCTGCAGAACTGAACTGAATGTCAATACTGCCAAGAAGGATGAAGACAACTTACATGCTATTGTAAATTATTATCTTATTGTTATTAGTTAGGTGTGTTGTTAGGTAAATGTTAGTGTGTTTTACTAACATTTTGAAACTTGGACAGTGTGTGTCATTAAGGAATTGTATGGCTTTAATTTACCTCTCAATTCACTCCACCTCCCCCTTCATGTGCTCTGTGACCCCCCTCAAATAAGAGCCACACTGATAACAGCAGCCAATGCTGGCCAGGCTGGAAAAAGTCCTAGAGAGCCTTATGGTGTCTTCTCCTTACATCCTGGGAAGAAAGTGTACAGGTCTGTTTTTCATTACTATAACAAAATACCCAGAGTAGGGAAACTTTATAAAGGAAAAAGGTTTGTTTAAATTAACTCATAGTTTTGGAGGTTTAAAGTCTAAGATAGGGAAGCCCCATTACTGGCCTTTGGCAGGGGAGTATGTGGGAGTCAGAGATCACATTGATTGATAGGAAGCCAGCATGAGGGGCAAGGCAAGACTGAGTTTACAACAACCTCTTCATGAGAAAGAACTCTGGGTCTCATAAGAATTTCCTTAGTGTTTTCTGAGGGAGAGGCCCACAACGACCTAAGGACTTGTCACTAGACCTTTGAAAAATCCCACAGCCTCCCAGCATGGCCACATGGGGGACCAAACCTAAAACACGAACCCTCAGAGACAAAGTGCATGGAAACCAGCCCAGAAAGGGATCACTGCCTGACACATGGCCAGATGTCCACTCTGACACAGAGAGGAGGAGGAAGCAACGTGGACAGAGAGCTTCAAGCAATGCTTCATCAGCTGGGCTTTCTGCAGAAAGACAGGACTAGCAGTCAAGGGACAGGCATGGTACATGGTAAAGAGCTTTGACCAAAGGGCCAGACCCTGCCCGCAACCCATGCCCAGCCAGGCCAGTGGCCAGCGAGTCCAGCTCCTATGGGAAGGTTGTCATGGGTGGAAAGGCAGACGCATAGAGAGCAAAACAAAATCGCCTCTTCTATGGGCAGGATAGGAGGGTGGGCCGGGGAGAGAAATGTCTTTGCTGTGTGTCACACTGTCTTCACCCCTCCCTGCTCCTCCTGCGGTCACATGGAAAATAATTTATTTGTGCTACTCTGGAAATCTGACCCTAAGCTGTCCCCTGTCCTCCATCCCACTGCTGCTGGCTTAAGCCAAGGACTTTTTATGCTTCACCTGGTCCCTTACAAGAACTCGCTAAGTGAATCCTCCTCCCTGCCTTCATCCACAAATCATGTCCACACCTGGAGATACAGTGACAAACAGGGGTGGTGATGCCCCAGGCCCCATGTGGCCAGAAAGACAAACAGAAAAGAGCTGCAGAGAAGAAGGTGCATGAGAAACCCGGGGTTGAGCCACTTCCCATCA